GTCCTAGGTGGTAGATGGATCAGAAGAACGCCCGGCAGCGAGCGCGCATCCGAAAGGTGGAGGCAAGAGTGGAAGAACGCCCTGTGGAGAGCGCGCAACCAAGGTGGTAGACGGATCAGAAGAACGCCCGGCAGCGAGCGCGCATCCGAAAGGTGGAGGTGTCACAGTTTTCGTCGCCGAGGAGGTGGGGTCAGAATATCACTACCGAGCAACAGAGTATTCCGCGTACAACAATTAATTATTACCTCGACGGGCAGGATATTAATTATTGGTTAAGTATCACTATGTTAATCCACTTACTTTCACTCCGATTATCGCACTCTCACTTACACCGTCTACGGTAGAGATTTATCTCCCCGGCTTATTCTCAGGCAGAGCTTTGCCTTCCTTACTTATTTCCTTCTGTACTGAGGCTTGTCTCTCGGGCAGAGCTTCGGCCTGCTGAACGTTGGGAAACGTACTACGAATTCGGGGCTCCGACGGCCCGCTTATATACTGTTAGGTTGTAGGGCAAGTGCGGAAGTGGTGATGAGCGGGGGCCCTTCGGAATTTTCCTTTAAAGTGCTAATTATGGCACCTTCCGGTGCTCTAAACAAATTGAGCTCTGGTCACCTTGGCAAAGGGCCTCCGTTCATCCTTATGCCGTTTTTCAAACTTTGAATTTGCCGCGCGCCGCCGATTAATTAATCCGCATACCGATCCCTTGTTTTTCTCCCTAGAGTTCCGCTATATCGCGTCGAGTCACGTAGGCATCGAACCTTCTAGAAGCTTCGCCGGAATTTCTATAAATGCTATATTTCTCTCATTTACAATGCTTTTTACTGGTCCTGATTGCCATCGTGGCTACCGGTGGAGGCGCACAGCGCCCTCGCACGCGGCTGTGATCGACGGTTCCCGTGGAGTTCACTCCTTCCACGGAAATCGTTGATGTTAGCTTATTATTCGTTATTATTAACTTGTTATTAATTTGGGACGAAAGCGGAGGCGCCAAGGATTCGTCTGTTATAGTGGCTGCCTCGGCTATCGTCAATTAATCGCTTAATTCTATCATTAACTTGGAAAAGAAGGAGAGCGAATATCTGCTAATCACGTGTTGCGCGCGTGCTAGTAGCCGCGCCGCGCCAGTGATACCTATCGGGTGGGCAATTACTACCGTTACTAACCACGTCAACGAAAAATGTGCGCTGGACGTGACAATATCAACAAATTGAGCCAAATATAACAATGGATATTTACACAAACTAGTTGCTTTAGTATTAGTTTTTGATTAAAAAATGTTACAATATATTTCTTAAAAAATCAAACTAAAGATTTTATTGGAAAAAATAATGGAGTTAATAATAAAACACCGATGAAAAGAATAGCAACTGTTTAAAAATTTAAAAACTCTGTATCCATTCAGGCGAATTAAGGCCTGTATCCATGATGCTAGTACTTGGTCCAAGTTCTAATTCCGCGAAATATGTAGCCAATCAATATAGCTGTTCCACAAAAGCTGCAAATTGATTGGCTACGCATTTCTCAAAACTAGAACTTGGACCAAGTATTAGCGTCATGGACACAGGCCTTAATTCGCCTGAATAGATACAGAGTTTCTAAATTTCTAAACAGTTGCTATTCTTTTCATCGGTGTTTTATTATTAACTCCATTATTTTTTCCAATAAAATCTTTAGTTTGATTTTATAAGAAATATAACATTTTTTAATCAAAAACTAATACTAAAGCAACTAGTTTGTATAAATATCCATTGTTATATTTGGCGCAATTTGTTGATATCATTACTTTTGTAGAGAAGATAGTTTTGTTGAGAATATACTTTTGCAAAAAAGATAGAGTAACAAAATATATTCGGTTGAATTGGAGCTTATACTTGGTGCTTTTTTTTACCTTTTTTAAAAAGGTAAGTTTTTACGTGATATCTCATCTTTTGTAGTGTGTAATATCTCATACTGTACTCTTTACTTGGCACAAATATAATTTAACAAGGTTTTCTGAATATTGAATTGTAACGTTTACAAGACATTACACAATTCAGCGACCATTAGACGTTTTTGCAATATCTTGTCAACGTTGAATTTACATTTCGTAACATTGATGTAATATTGCAATGTTGTAATAGAACGTTTCTGAGACGTTGATTCAACATATGTGTGCTGTATGGGAATGCGAGTGCAATTATCGTTAAGCTATTTTTGTCGAGTGTATGTAAAAAAATATAATATATGAACTCTTCGTCTCGACGACGAGCGGGGCGTCTTCTTTCCGTCTCCTCGTCGCGATTTCTCGATAAGAGGCAAGGGGGAGATCTCAGCGGAACGTTCAAGTTCCGACGGTTTACGCAAACGATTTTTGTAACAATCTTTTCTTCTTGTTTTTTTCCTATCATCGCTTGAGTACTCTCCGCGAGTACGCTTTCCGCATCAGTGATCGAGTTCAGATCTACCTCAGTCTGTTTAGTTTTTTGTTGCTAAAGTTCTAAACAGTAAGTAATATACATGTTATTGCGAATAATATTATCATAGCCCCAGTGGTCGAGCTGGCTAAGACGCCCGTCACGGATTGAGAGGTCCTTTTTTTTTTACGTGTGGAAATCCTTTATGGATACCCGGGCCCCCCTCCGGGAAGGGAGTTTACATTAAGTGGCCCGGGTTATGTGGGACTGCCCCCCTAATGGCGATCGGGTACGGCCGCTGACATTGCGACCGCTGGGCTTACCGCACTAAAACCACACGGTGGACTGCGCTGTGCTTTACTTGGGGGACGCCC